TGGTACTCGAAACATGCTATTGCCCAGGAGGTTTCTTCCCAGCTGATGAACTGGTGCTTGTGGTAGTGGTAGGTTTTGCTGGACAAGGTTTTGCTTGAATAGACTCTGCTTGGGTTGTTGTACCTGCAGAATCGGCAACTATACCTGTTGCGATGGATTTGCTGGTTGGGCACGATGACCTCGTACATGACAGTACTTGTACTTAACTTGCAGCACAGGGTGGATCCTTTGAATCATCAGCCTTCCGCTTCTGACAAGTGGTGGTAACAGCTTTTACAGTTTTAGATGTAAGTCTTTTGCACTCTTCGTTGAATAAATCAGTCAGTGGTTCATACTGCGCAAGAAGTCACTTTATGCAAATCCCAAGGGACAGCCATCTGGTGCTGCAATGCTTAAGCATCTTTACTGGCTCAGAACCACACTGAATCTGCTAGTCATGCTAGCGTTTCTTCCGTTTACAGCTTTTATGAGGATAGAAGTACACATCTACAAGAAGCTCATCAACTGCAACAGGTAATTTTCCAGCAGCCTTCTCGGCTGCTATGTGAACCAAGTGGCATGGACAACTGGCAACATACACTCCTGCAACTTTCTCTTTCACAAATGCTGCAACACCTTTGTGAATTCCATTCATTACAGATGCATTGTCACAGCCGAGGGACATGCAGCTCCCCCATGGAATATCTCTCTTAGTTAACTTATCATCCATCAAGGAGAAAATTCCTTTTCCAGAACTGTCACTTCCTTGAGGAAGACTTACAAGTACAAGTGTTACAAGGCCCTGGTCACTGTTGTAAACACTAATGACGAGTGGATACAAATGACCACCAAATTCCTGAGTATTACTTCCATCAGTTGACAAGGTAAAAGGTTGCTGTGCCATTCATTTTGAATATTTAGTTTTGGTGTCATCAGCCATGTTGTTTTTGTGCGCTTGTACCCATACTTTTTGGCAACGGCTGAGTCTGGGAAAATCAAAGGGAACAATTCACTTGTATGATCTGTGGCAGCAATAGGGAGGTTGTTCTTGATAAGGAAATTTGAAAACAGTACCTCAGCATGGATTACGGGATTCTTCTCTTCTTCTCTGACAAAAAATTGAGTCATTTACATACTTGATGACGACGCCTTTGAAAAGTCAACATGTTTTTTAGTTTTGCTGTGCTTGTCAATGTCATAGGCTCCGCCGTGGACAATGTTTATGTCACACCGACACGTGTTACAGAATGCAAACTTGTCACCGCGACCTGATTTTACAACAAATTTTCACTTTCTGCTGTACTCTTCCTTGAACTTCTGGTGAACTATCTCCATTTTTTTCACGAAACTTTCACGTTTTGAATATTGAATCTTGAAGTTGAATATGGCTGTGTCGATGTCATAAACAGTCATACGAAACCACAAAGTACGATATACAGTATGTTGAGTCAATATTGTGCGCCAGCATGGGCCGAGTTGACTGCATGGTTAGCTGGTTTCCCGTCTAAGATACATTGTTGATGCACTTCATGTCCACGGGAACCGGGTGCTTTTTAGGTGCTAGATTGTGCACAATCTAGCGCTGTATTTGAATCTATTGCACATGACAAGAACCGTCTATGTCTTTATTGCATTGGAAATATGCAACGTATACAGCTGTAGCTCTATTCGTAAGCCCACTTTTGACACTGCTACAGACAGATTGATAAGATTATCTGCCCCATTTTGGGCGCTAAATTTGCACAATGAATTATAAAGTAACACGACTCCAGACGAGTGTTTTGATTCTTTATTCACAAAATTCCCTAAAATTGAAAATTTTGTAGAAATATTGTAGAGATCATAAACTCATAACTGAAGAAAAAAATTGTAAACATTACGCCTAAATTGTAAATGATGGCATCTCTGCATCAGGGGGCCAATTCCATTGCTGTTGAGCCTGAAAAAAATTGCTAAGCATAGAAAGTATTTGCTTAGCATAATTACACGTACATGTACATGTAGCTAACCAGTCAAAATCTCATGCATATTTTTGTCACTGATTCCCAGCTTAATTTGTTTTGTTGACCAAATCCATTTCTGGACATTCATGGGCTTGCGAAGTACATGTATACTTAAATGCACCCATGTATATTACATTGTAGATACAGTACCTGCACCATGTGAAGTTGTGTTTCAGATATTTGTTAACGTAATTATCAACAGTGTCGCTGTGAAACCAACTGTTTGTTACAAAATATTGTGGTATTTTAGCAACTAACAATGCAATCTCCATTCACACAAGATATATATTTATCTCGGATTGTTTAATATTTGAAATGAGACAAATTCTTCAGAGCAGTTTGGTTAAGTCTGTCCTTAGTTTATGTCTTTGAGCATTTTGACGTTACAGTATAATATTCATAAACATTTCCACCAAAAGTGGCATAATAATTGATCATTCACCCTTACTCCTTGATTGTAAAGAATCAAATGAACCAGAAAAAATCAAATCAAAGTGAAGCACATCCTTTTGCCTTTTTTGGCATCATGTTTGTTCTTTCATAAGTGATAAATGAGTTTTATTTGTCATGTTTGTGGTGTTGTTATTGTTTTCTTGTGTGAGTTTTGTGGTATACTAATTTGTTAGTAGCCAGAATATCTCTATAGATATTATTTATAACATTATGGTTTGTTTTCACAAAGAAAACTTGTTTGTTTGTATTGTTAACGGTAACCGAATAGAAAGAGTTCATTATCACCCTAATTTCATTGGGTGCTGGATCACTCAAAACTTGAATTTAAAATTGCTAAAGCCTGGTTGAATTGCGTGTTTGAAAGTTGGTAATTGGTAGTTAAGATGACTCAACTACAAGTCCTTTTGCAAGTCAATCCACAAGTCTTGTCATCTGAGTTCACGTAACTTGTGGCATAGTTTGAGATCAAATGACTTGTGACGGACTTACAAGGAACTGCGATAGATACATGTAGATTCGACTGTAGCACTGATAAGCAAAGAGTAAATATTTGTTGTTAAAAATACATTGTCCTCAATACTAAATGAAAACAGGTCCGACATCCTTTCACAATATACATCATGGAACAGTATTTGGACTGGCGATCTTATTTTGTGGTTGGCAAAACCTCTCTCTGGTCAGGGTCTGTGCCGCATTATTAAATTGGCCGCTGCCAATTTTAGCCCATCAATGTGTTCTCTTTCCTTATTGTTCCTCTCAAAGAGAACCGGAAAGAATGTGGGCTGGGAATCCTGTGCATGAAGGCTTGATCTAAGAAGAATCTCAGTAATTTGCATGTATGGCATGTATGAAGGTCCAACCTCTGGCTGTCGTGTTTCCAGAAAAGTATGTGTATAGTCTTCTGACCAAACACATGTGGATTACCACTAATCTATTTGGTATGCTTGCACAAGATTGATTCCCAAAAGTAGTCCGATTCTACACACATTGATGAGGACGTGCATAGCCTGGGCTCCCTTTGGCACAGTTAAAAAAGCGTCTCTTGAGCTACTGTATGTGGCAAATTATAGGGAATATTGTACTGAAAGATACATGTTTAACTGTAAAATAGCACGGGGAGGGATGGGGCAGGTGGGGGGTTATCCCTAATCTTGGCCTTCCAGTATATTTAGTCACAGCTACTGTAGAATTTGGTAAGCTTGTAGAGACTTATACACTTGCAGATATGTAAAGTGTTGGTGCAGTTAATCAAAACATTTTGTAACTAATGTTATTTTGACGTATGCTGTGCATTACACATACACCATACTGTGTCAAAAAAATTCATTGAATGTGTCAAAATATGTGCAAAGTATCAGCTTTATAAAAACTAAAATCCACCAGAAGAAAAATTTCATTGCAATTTAGCCTGCCCCCTGCATTCACCCACAACTCCCCTCCCCCCAATTTTATGATTTTAAAGCATGTGATTCAGCAAATGTATCCGCTTAGCAATGGTATATAAATACATTGGTCATGTTGCAAAGGTGTATTTTAGATTCAGTTTTTGCATCTTTAACTGGCGTACTTGATGACCTCCAAGCTTGAATCTGTTTGTAAGCAAACTGTAAGACACAGATGACGAGACCGTGCTTTATGCTGTGAACTAATAATAGTGGTGACTCACGTACATGTACTTGATCGATTATCCCATTAAAAGAACACACAGCCTTTGAACGCTGCAAATTTGAATGGATTTCCTTATTTTATGTGTAGTCTGGTACTCCGAACATGTTCTTGCCTGTGCATGACAGGTGAGGGACTGTACATGTATGTTGCTATTCCAAAGGTGGTGGGCACCATTTGCTGATCTGCATGGTCAGTGTACACCTCTTTAAATAGCAATTGGCCAATCCTGTGAGAAATCTCGGGGTCTGGTTCTCTGTTTCAAAGAGTTTTCTTTAGCCTCCATTAAGAAAGAAAAGGGGATGGCCGATCACAGAAATATCAGCAGTGTGTATAACAAAATGTGTTTACAAGAGCGCCATTCCTTGGGTGGACCTGGGGAAAAACATCCACACAATGCAGGAAGTGAATATATGCAGACTTGACCAAGTCCACACAAGGCTTCCCCCGCTGAAAGAGGCTTAGAACTTAAAAGGGAACCATGTACAAATATCCAGCTTAAAAGACTTTTCACGGTTCAAGAAACAGAACATTTTCAGAGAGTTCTCTTCACACAAAAACAGAACGTCCACACTTGGCGTGGATGAGCAAGGGGCAAATTTAGGGGAAAGGATGAGGAATATCCCTCCCCCAGCTAAACCAGCTTCTAATGACTGTTCTCTTTGCATTTCAACTTTTGCTGATATGGAAAACTGAGCCCAAAAGGCTACTGCGCCACACATACCCCCCCACACCACACACAACCAAGCATCTTTTGTGGCAAAATGAACAAAACCTACACCATTGACTGTGATTCAAACACCTCAAAAACCTTTATTTGTCCTGCGGTTTTTTTTACATAAAAATAAAAGACTTCAAGCGTGCAGATTATTTTCAAACAAGAAAATTATATACAAGCATCATGCCACCATCACCAACTCTGCATGTCTTAAAAATAAAAGCCCAGACATTTTTTTTGCATTTCAGCTGTTGCAGTAAACAGAACAAGGACTTTGTTCCACATGCTCAAGTAATCAAGTCAACTTACTACATGTGCATTTTTTTTTTCGTACAAAACCTCCAAGAGTCGAAAGACACTTTTTTTCAAACTCACATATTTGTGACTCTACTACATGTACATCTGCTTTTCAAGTTCCCTTGGCAAACTTAACAGCAGTCTGAAAGAAACAAGCGAGGGAGAACAGCACCGGTGAAGAGTGGCTGTTTCATCACTCCAAAATTGCTGCACGAAGAGAAATAGCTATGTGGGATTTACAGCGTTATGTTAGCCTACAACTTGAAAAGAAATTTATGATGCTATGACCCGCAGCGTTAGTCAAGATGATCCCAATTTACAGTACGCACAAGTGATGTCACTCAACTATGTGATGCACTTTGTCCATTTTTGTTTACATGTACCTATAGATGGGAGTAAAGGACTCTCTAAAACCAGTAACAACTTTTGTGCCAACAAGAGCCTAAAAGTATCAAACAATTATTTTGTCTGACAAATACATGTATGACTGAACAGAATGTGAACCTACATGTATGACTTATGGAACATGATTATGGAGATCTACCAACCATGGATATCCCTATTCATGGGGGGAGGGGGCTGGTTAGATTATATTTGCCTAAAATGTTGACTAAAGTAGAAGTTGAACCTCTGATCTACAGAACACTATCCCTTTAATCTACCAAGCAGGTCAACACTGGATGTTTTGAACGGAGGATGGATGTGTCAGGAAACTCAATAATGGTAGAACTGAGACATCTTAAACACTCAAAATTGACTTTGGAGTTTTGTGTTGCTTTTTGGGAGTTTCAGAGGAACAGGTTCCTTTTTTTAATTAAATAGGACAAGACAAAACTTTTTTCACACCTCAACAAAATGTGAAACAACAAAATAATTCAACCCCCCCCCCAAAATTGCGGTCACCACGAAAGGAAAATACTTCAAAACTTTCTCATTCTTGGGGAATGTACTGTTGTAAATCTCAACAATCTTTAACATACCGACCTTTTAAGTGCATCATTTCATGACTGAATAATTTGACGATTAACAGTAAAAACCTGAGGTGGTATTTCTGTGGATGATGTGTCCACGATGGATGATTTGTCCAGGGGGTGCTGACACAGTAGTCCAAAGAATCTGTAGTTTACAATTGAGTTTATAATTCATTCCAATGTATGCAGTGAAGCTACTTTCTCAGGGCATCACAGAGTGTCTACAGTCCTTCATAACCAGAAATTCTCCTTTGCATTTATATGGAATGTGAACAGAAGATGCATGGCATTATTCAAGAAGATACAACTACAAGGAGCTGGGATCTTGTAGATGCACATTCTAGCATTCCTCAAGGCAATTTGTTAGTGCAAATTTTCAAACTTTACACTTGCTGTCAGGGCAGCGGCTTTTTCAAGGCTAAACTACATCTTCATTACACAGAACTGAAAATTACAGTAAATACGTTCTCTGTGCTTTGAACAAGGCTTTCATTATGTACAGGAATCATTTTTCTCTTCACAAGAGGCCAAAATTGTCAAAAACATGAGAAATACTGTAAGACACGGGTCAGGGAAAGGGGTGAAGGACAATTCAAAAATCTCTTACTTGGGAAGAAAAATTGGAACTTTTGTGGAAAATATCAAAGGCACTTAAATTGGAAGTACAACACAGAGCTGGTTTGCTGCTTCTGCAACTTGTCCATGTCTGGAGGGTTGGGTACATCAGACAGGTAGTCTGGTGCCTAGGTTATCACAGAGAGTTTGGTTTGTTGTATTAAGCCTGAGAAACTCCTGGAGAGCCTGGCAGCCAGATGTGTACACATATAATGGTCGTCAGTCCCTTGTACTTCTTTGTGCATTTCAACAGGAACTATAAAAATCTCTACAAATTAGACTACAATACTGTATGGACTACACCCTTTACTGTAAGTTCATGAAAACCCACCATTTTTAAGACAGGTGCTGAAGTAGAATGAATACTGACTGTACACTAAAATGTGGCAAGATCGAGAAAACCATTTCTGCATATTTAAAAGAAAGCTGTGCAATTGAAAAAAATGCCAGATCACCACAAGCCCAATATAATTGGAGTACTGAATTAAAGATCAATGCAGCAAATACATGACAATAATTATCACAGTTCGACTTTAAAAGCCCAAATTCCATGATTTCTGAATAACATCGTTTTTCACATTTCCAAATTGAAACTTCAATATTCTTTGCCATGACCAAGTTGTTATCATAAAAATCCAACATGATTTGAGCATGCTTCACCTCAGGTATGTGGTGCCGCACATCATTTTTCTCAGACCTAATCAACAGTCCCTAGCTTTTTAAGTTTCTGTGATAAACTTCATTGCAATTCCTGGAAATATCCCATGATTTCAGTGACATCAATGATGAAATTAAAACATGCTAGTCTTTTTGAACACTTGAAACTAACCAGAATTTACATGGCGTTTCCAATTAACCATCCGTACAATCAATCAGGATGTGACTTGGTTTCAACCAGGTGCTGGATTTTACAGCCATAAAAACTATGGTTGGTACCAACTCTTCATTGTCCATATTTGAATCTGAATGGAATGTGGTCTCGCAAACATTTGCGGTTCCCTCCTCTCCCCCCAAGTTTGTTATAGCATCAAGTTACATCTGGACACTGTCCCTGCTCCCACAAACTGAGGATTATGTTCCAGAATCTTTTCCAGATCAGTTTAACCAAAGCCAAAACAGACCCTTGTTCACGGGGAAGCCATTTTTAATCGTTTCCCCTGAATGTGGTTCATCGTTATCACCATTGGGGTGGGTGCCAGACTATTTGGGGTTTCAAGCTTCACTTTCATTTTTTTAAACGTGGCTCAAACCACTTAGATATACATGTACTTATCGCAAATTTTCAATTGGTTATCAGCATAAACCGGCATTAGTTTGTAATGATATTTATTCCATACTTTCATTTTTACTCTCAGGTTTCCCAATTGAAATGTTAACCTTGCTGTAAGTTTGATATGGTCGACTTAGGAATAAAATGTACTTAACCACTTGGCGCCGGGGTTCCTGGTACCAGGTACCTTGAGTTTGTACGCATAGTCGGGGTGCCCGAAATCAGACAAAGGAGCTGGGCCTAAACAAAGACCATACTTGGTACAAAACTTGGTACATATAATCTGTCATTGTTTTGAAACACTATACTACTGCGGCATTCAGCCCCCACGGATTATCAGCGGGGACAAAATCGCTCCAGCACTCCAGCGATGAGCGATACAATACCGCTGCATGCTAATCTGGCCGCATTTGAAAAGACACCACAGCCATTCAGCAACGCACTGGGCCAATTTCGGGAACAAAGGGAATTACGCAACACCTCAAATCTGGACTCTCTTTATTGGGCGGCAGGCCTGACTGCAATACTTGGGCATCAATGGAGGTTGCCTATCAGATTAGAGTAGCCACCAGACAGTCATTTGTGTGGGTGTAAGCGTCCAGTAAATGAAGTTATGTATTTTTCAAGAATTTTGAAAATGGAAAATCTTAAAAATCCCCCAGGAACTCATCCTGCATATGCAAATTCCACCCGGTAGGAAGTGGTTAACCTGTTAGAAAGACTTGCATTTCACCTGCCAAGTTTCCATCCTTTCATGTTTTCCTGTAGACATCAGTTTACAATTGTTTGTCGGTACCTTTTTTTCAAGTCAGATTTTTCTCTGAACCCATTCTTCAAACATCTGTTCCAAACTGAAGCAGTGTAGCATGTCTGTCATACATCACTGGAAAGCTCTTTCCAACATTACCCTCATTTTGTGGGAGCAGGGGCTCAATTTCATGAGAATTGGTAAGCGTGGAAATATTTGGCTAAAAAAAACCACAAAAACGGATTACCAGCCAAAAACGTTATGCAATGAATATTAAATTTGACCGGCACTTGGCTTGTATTTTCTCAGCAGTGTTTAGTGTGCAAAGCAATATTTCTCACTCAGAGCCTAAAAATAATGTCAGAGCAGCCTAAATGTAACCTGAAAAAGCCTGAAATGTTTTTTTTTACTAGAAAACTGATACATCGTTGTGGTGTCACACAAAACCTGCAGTGGTTGATCACACTACAGCCGCCCCACAGCCCGCCCTAGCCACATTCATGTTGTTGGCCACTGTCCAGGAGTCCGTGTAGGGGTCGTAGATCTCCACACCTCTCAACCGGTTGGTGCCGTCGAAGCCTCCCATGACATAGATCTTGTTGTCGAAGATGGCAACAGCAGGCCAGGCCCTGGGTGTCTGCAAGGAGCGGATGGAAGACCACTGGTGCGTTTGTGTATTGTACCTGCAGCGGAAACAAAACCCGGCATCCAATGTTGTAAAGTTTGCATCTGCACAGTGGAGGTATATCTTTGTCAATCGATTGTGCAGTTCTGAGGTTGTCAATAAGTTGTTTTGATGCTTCAAATAAGCACAGAAACATTGGTATGTCTGTACAAGTGGCAAAGTAAGAGAGGACATGGGGAGCATGCCCCCAGGCCTGTCCCCTCCCCAAGAAGGAAAAAATCTGGTGATAGTCCACCTTGGTCACTGTTTTAACTCTGACCAAACCCATAGATTGCCCCCCTCCAGAAAATGACGCCCCTTCCCAACTGCCTCCTGCAAAATGTACCTACGTTATGAGCTAACAGCTCGCACTTGACTCTTGCAGTATACTGCAGTTAGCATTTTTAATCAAATGTACAGAGTGAGAGTGTGTGTGCATATGTGGGATACAGCTGGATGTGGCCCATAACAGAAATCCTCCGACAAATCTGCCATGGGTTCGTTGTTGCCAAGCAAAACAGTATCTCCTACTATTAACGCACAGAACAAATAATACCCGCAATCTTCACAAATTGTCCCGGTGCCCACCTTTCAGCTATGTTGAAATACTGATCAGTGTGTCGGAGCCGGCCACCAAAGGCATAGATGTAGTGGTCCATGGCCACCAGGGCCAGACCAGACCGTGCTTTCTCCATCTCTGCCACAAAGGTCCACTCCTCTGTCTCTGGATCGAAGCACTCCACACTAGCACGATCCGTGTGATAGTTCTTGTCATACCCACCTTGAGCAAACAACAACAACAGACTCATCTATTAGAGACGGAATGGAACCAACAGGGCCTAACTTTGTTCATACTTGTCATTAGAAAAGCAAAAATTGCCCCAAAACTTTGCTTTGTATGAAGTCATTCTCTTAAAAATAACAGCTTGCAGGAAACGTTTAGTTCACTTGTGCCAGTATCATGTTTTTAGCAATATTCAGGTCGGTTTATTTTTTTTGGATGGTGGTAAATGGTTATCCTACCTTTAACCATCCAGCCTGGTAATGCAAGAACCAATCACAGTTCTGATTGCAAAACTAAATGTACAAATGGAGCCAAACATAAACTTACGATGCGCCTCTCTGGGATCACACAGTTTGGCAATGGATACGTGTATATACCCTATGTACCGGTATGTTACCCTAGCAATGTCTCACGCAGCAAAGTTCTACATATTTGTGATTGGACTTGTGATAGCTACATACCAGCGACGTAAAGTTTGCCGTCGCACACGGCCACTCCACAACCCGACCTCTTCTGCTTCATGTTGGGCATGAAGTTCCAGGTGTCTGTAAGGGGGTTATAACGCTCTACCACACTGTAGCTGCTACTGGCATTCTCCCCTCCTGCATAACAACAAAATATGACAATAGAAAAACAATAGCTTACTTACGGTGTTAAGAAAAAAATGGTGATCAACAGGGCATGGAGTAAAAGCACATTGACTGTCTCATTAACTCCCTTCACAGCAGGATTATTTTGACCGCGACTGCTGGGCTTTGGTATGCCCTGAATGGAGGGCATTGTCCAGCAGCAGGCCCCATTGAACCAGCAGCTGCATGGTGAATAGCCTGTATGTGTGGTATGTACTAATCCTCACACAACGGTGTGGTAGTAGCAGTCTTCTGTAGCGAAGGGGTTAATAAAGGATAATAATAAAGTTTCACTTTCTTCATGTGAACAAAAGTAGTTTTTGTTGGTCATTTTCATAGGAACTATCGTGGAGCTAGGTAAGATTATATGTTTCCAATTTTGTTCACCGCAAATTTTAAAACCTTTCTCAAAACAAAACTAAACTTTTCCCTTATCACTATCCAATAGATAAGAGATAAACACAGTCCTTTCTGCCTCTAGAAAGTGCCTCCTGAAGGGATTTTTTTAATTTCATAGGGCGCAACACAAACAGTGTAGGAAGTCAAGTTTGCAGAGGAGTTTCATGGTGATGGTTTACATGTCGCTTTGAACAGCTTCTTCACAGTGACTATATGAATAGTCCTATGGACACTTGATTCTAAGGGAAATGCTCCACCATTTCCAATGAAACCCATACAAACCACATTGTTGAACTCTCATCACTAGATAACTGACCTAAGGCATAAAGGTAACCCCCAAGGCTGGCCAGGGCGATGAAGGACCGAGGTATGTTGAGGTTGGAGCGCGGACTCCAACGTTTGAGCAAGGGGTCGTAGCACTCAACCTGACCAAGGTACATGGTCTGGTCATCCCGGCTACCGGTGAAGGCACATTCACCACCCACAGCATACAGCAGGCCGTTGACCATAGCTGCGCCCACTGCCGTCCGAGATATCGACATGCTGTCCTGTAATTGTGAAAAAAAACATCATACATGTATGAGAATATAATTTTTTCTGAGGATGGCACTATCATGCTATGGTATCAGGACCCAATTTCATGTGGAAGAAAGTTACGCTTGGAAAATTTATGTTTCTAAGCAAAAAGTTAGTTGAGCACCAGTCACAATCAATTTACACATCACAGCAGGTTTTCAAGATTCTATGACATTTCTTACTTCGTGATTGCTTTTTTTACACTCTTGAGACAATGTTGCTGAGCAGTATTTGCTACAACACCCAGGTGTGGCACACGAACAATCTCCAAAAACCAGTTTTAGCCTTTCTGTGAGTACAAATTTAATGGGACACAATCAAGAGTTAGCATGGGGATGATTCTAGACCTTGTCCGCTACTGTAAACAGAAATTGTATTTACATGTCATCTAGCACAAAGTGGTTAGAAGGAAAAAAATTGAGAACATTTACCTGTGGCACCCAACGGTCCCGCGACACGTCGTATCGCTCACAGCTACTGAGCTGGCAGTCCACGCTGTTCCGCCCGCCAACCACATAGATGCTCTGAGGCTGCGACCGGCTTCCAATGAGAGCCAGAGCCTGGTTGTCGTTACGGATACGCAGGGCATTGGCCAGCCGGTCCCGGCAGGCCGAGCAGCGGTTGATGAGCTCCGACTGGTGCACCCGCTGCAGTAAGTAGTCCTTGTCCAGCAGCGCAAGCCGGATGTGCTGCAGCACTGTGCAGCAGCAGCGGCTGCGGTTTTTTAGGTCATAGCTCAGCCAGGAGACAGCCGCCTCGTAAACCTTCAAACAATATTGTTTCATCACGATAATATTAATAGCCTGGAGGAGAGCCTCATAAAATGGAACTTTTTGTGAACCGCCACATTTCTAGATCCTTCAAGATCAATTAGGTTTGGATACTCTGGTAGGATTTAGCAATTCAAAGTGTAAATAAATCAATCACAAATTATTCATAGGCCACGTAACAACTCAGGTCAGAGGTCAGGTCAGAGGTCAAATCGGAGGTTTAATCAGAAGTCAGATCATGAGTAAGTGAGGTCACAGGGCAGGTCACAAGTCAGGTTAAGAGCAACAGCAGAAAGTGGTAAAATTCTCTTTAACACAGTTGGTGACTTAATTGACTTGAGACCAGAAGGCTTGTTATTAACTAATAAATTAGGAATAAATCTGTTCCAACACTTGGCTTCAGGAATTTAGAGTCCAGTCACTACTAATCTAAAAGAAAAAGTTCCTATCAAAAGTGCTGAATGAGCCTTCCTTGTCGTACAAGTGGAATACCATGTAACTTATTTCCCAGAAAATGCATATTTGGTCACAATCAAAATCAAAACTTGGGAAATTTGCCAGTGGATGATGGACCTATCTCCTTCCATCGGACACCAAGACTTGGAAATGAAGGTAGATGTTTCCTTGTTGTGCGGGGGTGCTAAGGAAGACAGCAGGAGAATACCAACCTCCTCCTCACCATCCACTTGCAGCTGGTCACTCTTCAGGAGCTCCACCACATCCTGCTCTGCCAGGAGGAAGAACTCCTCGGCCTGAATCACCTCCCGGAAGTGTTGGTAGATGAACCGACGGGACGCATTCTCCAGGTCTGTGCAGGAGTACATGTCAGCAAAGGAGTGAATACCTGAAGAGAGATGGGGAAAATGTCAAAGGTGGGCAGTGAAAGGGCAGAGGTTAGACGGAAGTAAGCCAAGTGATGATGAGATGAAAACAGTACCAATTCAGTGCAGGAGTACATGTCTGTGCAAGGAGTGTATACCTGAAGGGGCCTCGGGTGGGGAAAGGGTCAAATCTCAGCAATGAAAGGTCAGAGGCTATGAGAAAGTAAGCCAAGTACCTGTATATGACAGGATGGAATCAGCAGAGCACTGGAAACAGCTTTTAGATGTTCACCAAATGTACATGTATTTACAGGATACAACTTGATGTTAACTATCAACCCTTGCCATCCTAGATCCTTCAAAGTCCATCAGGGAATTTTTGAGGATTTGGTAGGATTAAAAAAAGTACATACAGCCCATACATGACACTCTACATGGGGCTTCATGCCCCTTGAAAGTTGAGGTGCAAAAGAATGTGCTAAATTGCAGGATTTAGGAGGGTCCCAAGGAAAAAATACTCACAGCTAGGGAGTTAGGGTGGAGAGAATGCCTGCTCGAAAGCTTTATCTCTCTTTCTGTGAACTTACCAAGGCAATTACTAGCATCCAGCTGTGACTGGAGAAACGTGCAGCACACGTTACGGAGGCTGCTCATTGAAAGCATGCTGGCTCCTGCCAACACGATCTGCACGTTTTCCACATTGATTTCAATGAAGCCTGATGATCCCAACAGACAGCAAAGATGAAAATAACATTCATCAATCAATAAGCATGACTGGTATTGTTACATTTTAGGCATATGGTTGCCACTGCAACAACTCTGACTAGGGCTGCTCATAAAAGAAAAAATAAAGTACAACTGCTGAACCACATCGTTGGAAATTTATAATTTTGCACTTGTTTTGACTTTCTGACACAAAATAAATTCATAAATGGGAATAAATATGTGCTTGGCCTGTCTTAAACATTCACGACTGGCTCTGGAGTATGAGAGCTAGTGATATCCCTTGCCTTTGCCTTGGGCATTATCAGCATCCGCTCTCCTGATCTGGCATTAAACTTTTACAGCCAGCCAAGCACATATATATTTCTTTATTAATGCCAGTAGTCCCACTCAATGGTCATATATAAAATCCAATGTGCAGCATCATATTTTCCACAGTGCCAGCATAGTTTCTGTGAGGATTTGTCCACGTACAAATACATTTGTGAACTTGCTTATTTTGCAGGTAACCCTAACCTTTCCCAACCACACAGAGTTAAACAGTAGTAAAGTGTTTAATTCTGTGGGGATAGGTCTGATAGGCCCATACCTGGTAACAGCTGGCTTTTGCATTGGGTTTGGCATACCTCAGAAAAACAAAGTCCAACAGCCTCTGTGCACCCATATGGGTGTTTAACTTTGTGTGAATGGGGAAGGTTAGGGCCAGCAACCCTTGGGGGTTAGGGTTAAATGATGTGAATCCTAAGCCCCGGCAACCAAAGAATTGAAAACCTCATTACGGTACAACATTTTTAACGAATTCTATTTCTGAAGTCAGAAGGTCATTAAGGTGATTACTGAAAACATTACACCAACGTGGCTAGTGACGTCCTTGTTGAGGACTTGAAGCAGAGAGATCATTATTAACTGTACATGTACATGTAGCTTATCCTTTTCAGTGTTTATTAGATTCTGGCTTTCTCATACGGCAATGCAAGTGGAACATGTTCCACATGTACAAGTACATGTATGTCGATGATCTTGGATCTTGGTTTTTACCAAAAAAAAAAAGCTAGAAGAATGGTTCCTTTGGAATTAGTGGAAAGCTGTGCATGCACCCAGTTGAGGTTTTAATACTGATAGTGCATGCTATTAAATCCTAAACTTGTACCAGTCCTGCATTCACTTTTTGCGCAAAATTTAAAAATATTATTCTAGTTCCAGCAGTGCAATACCAAGTAGAAAAATCCATAAATCCTGAATGAAGTTTTAAAAAATCAGGAAATCTGGACAAATCTGGACAAATCTCACCCCTGATAAAAAGAAATGTTCATTTTCAATTTTTGAAAAGCTGTGCGCACAGACACTGTTGCTACTATGTATTTTTGTTCCATCCACATGAGTTCCTCAATAAGCTTGAACGTAGAATGCATGATAGGTCACTTTACACAGGTACTGGGTTAAATGATACCATGTATCAAGCAACTCTTAACTTTGGGCTGACTAAAGTTACAAACTGCAGAAGTGACCTTCAACCATCAGCAGAGTTTCAACAATGCTTGGACATAATTTCTGTGCAGTGAGTGGAGGACTCCATTACCTGTTTCTTACATTACCTTCAGGTACACATAGGCTGCAACTTACATGAAACTAAAAAGTGATGATGTTTAAAAATGAATTGATTTCCATTTTGATGTCAAAACTGATGGGAAAATACCGGTGCATGTATCTGTGCCATCCAATTTTGACTGCAATAGATAATTTTCTGAAAAACAAGTGCTACTCTATTGTTTCACTCAAACTACATGTACATGCTTACACGTACATGTGCATGTACAACATCGTGCACTAATCTTACATACATGTACATGTTCCTCGTGTGGAATTCTGAACAGATGTCCAAATGCGGGGAAGACGTTCTGTGGACTTACCCATGTCCACAGGACGTTTCCCCTTCTCTGAGAAAGAAGTGTTTTTTTTATAGAGGCATTTTGGGGGCAGGGTAATCTGTCGTAACAGGAAGAGGAACAGTCAAAGAAATATTTTCCAAAAATCCAGCTGAAAAATCATGTTCCCAGTTCATGAAAATTGGGCATTTTCACCATGTTTACAACTGCAAGAAAAAAAGGAATGTCCTAACTAGGTACAGTACATACATGGATATGTAAACGTAAGTGTGTGTGTGTGTGTGTACAATTGGCAAGCTTATTTCATACAAAAATTTCTGGGTGTTGATAAGAGTATTTATACCATTAGGCCACCAATGTTAACATAACTGGTCCCAAAACACAAATACGAATACAAATTGCCAAGATATTGTGCTGTAAAATCACAACAGTTGAACACTAGTATCAATTCAAGCAAATTTCATGGCACATACCGGTAGCTAGTAATATCAAAGTCAAAAGTACCGGTATGACCAGGCTTAATGAGACCAAGCTTTACCAACAAGATTCAGACGCACCCTATCAGCTTGACTTTGAAAAGGGGCAACATGGACATGATGGGACTCACCAGTGTACATGAAGGTCAAGATGATCTCCATGGCAACTGGGTCCACCCCGTGGATCTCCACCTGGTCCTCAGCCGTCTCCTTCATGCCGTTAGTGAACATGGCCCGCAGGTAGGGTGAGCAGCCGGCCAGTACCACCTTGTGTGCTCGGAAGGCCTGGTCCTCCAGGCACAGCACCACGTCACACAGCTCCTGCCGCTGCCGCAACTCGTTCATGACTGTGAAGGCGGCATGCGTGTGGAGGGTGATGGTGTAGGTGCGCGACTGGATCATGGTCAGATGCATGTATGTAGGGAGCTGGGGGTGTCAGAGGTCAGCACAGGGAGATTTCTGCTTGTTTGGTTACTTTCTTTGTGTTGTTTTGTATTTGTTCATTGGCTGGTTGGTTTCTATATCTGCTTGTATTTACATGTGTCTGTTAGTTGGTATGCAAGTTGATTGGTTTGTTTGTCTTTGTCTCTTTGTCTGTGTTTTTGATAGTGTTTGTGTTTTTGGTAATGTTTGCTTATTTGTTGTTTGTGTGTTTGTTGTTTACTTGTTTGCTGTTTGGTTCCTGGCTTGTGTTTCCGACGGAGTTCAATTTTGGCCAAGATTTCAGGGATAACCTCAGAGTTGTCTTCTCACCAGCATATCACTTTTGTGATCACACTCGGACAAGATGCAGTGTACTGGGTCGGTTGCAAAAAATCCTTCAACTTCTACATCTCGCACAAACCAGTTTTTGGAGATGCCCAAATCACTGGAGATTCACTCCTGGAGTCAAAAACACATGTGTATGGCCTTTTTTTCTTCAAAAAGTGGAGCTTGCTTGGTACCACTTTTCACAGAAATTGCTTGTCCAAATTAGTCAAGATTCAAATTTATGAACACAGGATGAAACTTACTTGAATTTTGACAGAACTCTTCCGAACTCTCGGCAACGACAGTGCTTCAGTAAACATGTGATATCAAACTTTTCTACCAAGCATATTAAGACAAGGATTTTGCTATTTCCATTTTTATCGAGGCACTGTCCCGGTCACGTACCGAGAGCATGTGCCCACTGATTGGCTGATGGACTGTTTAGCAACACAGGCCTCTGAACCAATCTTGTCCTCTTCACCAACGCTGCACACCGGGGGAACTTGTGAGCTTTCTCAGAGGAAGCATGGTGCTCCCTAAATAAAAATGTGTACACACGTCCACATGCTCCTTCAGTTATATTTAAGGTTCCATGGCAAACTAGTCTCTCCCAGGCTAACTTTAAAGACTCTGACCTCAAGATGCCCTGTGCAGCCTCAGTTGAAGTCCCACATCTTTGTGAAGAATAATAATGGTGACAATGCTGTTACAATCAAGTCCGACAGCAATCTTGGACCTGTGCCAGAAACATATGTGCAAAGAAATGATGAAAAGCACATAGATTACACTGACTTAAACCAGAAATTTGTAAAACGAAGCTGCACTGATGCCACTGAAGGTTGTGCCACATATACAATGTACATGTACATGAGTGAATACTATCGGTCGTACATGTACCTACATTTTGTACATGTACCAAGTCCACACAAGGTCACACCATTTCTGAAAAAAAAAAGATTGAGAGCCATTTAGGGGTTACGGTTATTTGTAGCCCCCCAAAAAAGAGAAAGAGCAGACGAAACCATTATCCAGCTTAGAAGAATGTTACACTGCATGAAAAAAAAAATTTTTTTCCACCAAGTTTTCTGCAAAGAAAGAAAGAAAGAAATGTCATCACTAGAAGTAACCTAAATTTGGGTCATTTGTGTTACAATGAGTACACTCCTCAGTGTACAAATGGCAGGGGTGATCCAGTGGGTATTAGTGAGAGTTAACGCTCAATCATCAGGAGTCTACTCTTGCATTCTTTGGTTTATCTAAGATGGCAGACAGGCAACCACTAAGGTAATACGGTACATCTTTCTTCACCCCAAGGCTTGAGAATAAAATTTGAAAATTATTTTACATACATGTAATAATCTGGCTACTGAGCATGTTTTGGGGCCGACCAAACCGTTCTTCCTGCACGCTCCATAAAGATCTGACCATATCCTCATTATCCTGCAATTTTTAAGCAGTAGGCACTGCTCAGCAAAATGCCAAACCAAGCTCAGCTGACAACTGGGGCCCAATTTCACAGACCATGCTTTATCGCTTAGCAAATTTTATGTGCTCAGTAAAAAAAAAATTCGTGAACCAGTAAAAGATTCATGAAATACTTCACTGTACATGTACGTACATGTACCATTTTGGTTGGGGACCTGCTTTCGCTTGCCAGAAATTTTCTTTGCTTAATAGAGTGCTGTGCTTAGTAGCTCTACGACACTGGCCTCAGAACCAGATGTCACTGAGCTGTGAGGCAACATGTAGCACAGCAAATTTCATATGCTGAAGCCAAATCTGCTGTGAAGCAGTCAACAGTTACAGTACAGGCAATGCTTTACATTTGTTGTTTTTGTTCTTTTTATTACAAGCTGTTCTGTGAAGACTGCAAACAGACCAAGATTTAAGCAAAGCACAATAAGAGATTGGAAGTTTTGAGCGGAATAGTTTGTACATGTAGTCATCTGCCTTACGTTCCGATTCCACCTTGTACTGACATTGAATTTAATGCAAGTCGGCACTGAGAACAACATTTCCAATTCACTAAAAAGTTTATGGTCTGATGCAATAGTGTCTTTCTAAAGAGAAAAAAGAAATTTCATTTCAATCTCACACATACCAGAGTTGAATGCAAGTTTCTCTCTCAAACTATGTAGAATTCATCACTGGCAAATTGGCCAGAAACTCTCGCTCGGATGAAAAGAAATAAGGGTGTGTCCACTCCACAGAAAGAAATGCCGCACCAGCAGAGCAGCTGTGGAGACACTGCAGCGTCCTGACAGCGTGAGTATTAACATAAACTGTCACTTGCTCGACACCCATTCCATGACATTCACAACAAGGCACAACTGAGTCACATCTCAATCTGTCTCCTTTGTCATGCTTTAAGGGGGAGGGTAGCAATACTACATGTGCCGGTACTGCACATGTAGGTACATTCAATAATCATTCATGAATATCACTGGCAAGTGTGACATCACTTGTGAATATTCATGACAAGTCAGCGCTGGTGTGGAAACATCACGAACAGATTGCAACTTCTGGAGTGATTTTTCTCAGTGCGTGTGTCCATTTTTGCAAATTTCAGGGGTCATGCTGTTTTCGATCTCAGATCTGATGCAGGAGATACATGTACAGTACATGTACACGTAGAGACACTTTGTTGAGATTGAACTGATGTGATCTGTGGTCAACAGAAGAAAAATTAATGCACGTTCCAAATCTCTTTGGAGGCAGTGTGGCATTTCTCAGTTGTGATGACTAAACCCTGCACAATGCAATGCTCATTAGGCAAACTCCCCTTGTGTGGATGCCACATTTTTGCCCGCTTGATTAATTTGGTGACTTCAATGAATCATTCAGAGCAGATCACCATGGAAATTAGGGTTCTGTTTTCTATGCAGAGAGCAACGCTTGCTTCATTATGCTATTTACATGTATGTACATGTACATGTACCGGTAGAGGAACCAGTATACTGGTTGGTACATGTACATGTCCGTATGTTGATAGCATACATAACACTAACAAAAAGAAACAAACAATGCAGTTATTTAAAAAAAAAAATAAATGCGCATGCTGAGAGGAGCCTGATTGCAAAAGTCCCACGAACTGATGACGTACATGTATCTCAGTATTTCATAATGCAGTTAGTGGGATACATGTAGAATGGGGAGTCATGGGTGCATATACACATTGTACATCGCCATACACTGCTATCACATGTATCTCCCTTTCCAAATGGCAGGGCTATGGACCATTGTTTAAAATCTTCTGGTAAGATTGCCACTGTCTTGTGATTAATTGAATGTCAAGTTCTACCTGGTATTTCCCCCACTCATGACATACAACTGCAGAGTACGCTGTAAAGATAGCCCTCATTCTATCTCACCAGCAGAGTCCATGTACATGTACACGTACATGTATGTACATGTACATGTACACGTACATACCAGTCAGGCTATTCTTGCCAGACAGATCATCCATTTATGTGATTACAATACAGCATCGAGTAAAGGATTTCAGGAAAATTCTGTGATATATTTCGCATTTCTTGCTCGTCTACTGATATGTACGTGCACTGCACAGTCTGTCAATTCTAAACTGTTTAGACAGTCTGGTACAAATTTATGTTCTTTCAAGCACATGCTTCAGTCAAATATCAAAATTTAGTCTGGTCTAGTCTTGAGTCAGTATTTAGGTGAAGCCCCAAGTCACTCTCATCTTGGTACATGTACATGTACTCTGCTCAGGTCACACTAATCAAGTTCCACTGATCATTTGGGACAAGTTGCATACTCTCAATTAAGTCACTCATGATATGTACATGTATATTCAATATTTGATTGTTGCATGGTATAGAAATAAATGTTTCTTAATTAAATTGAAATGAATTGAATTGAAAAGAATTAAATTTTGTAGGAACGGGAAACTTTTGGCTGTACATGTATGTACATTGAAATAAAAAGTAAAATTACACATAAAAAGCCACTCTAATCAAATTTCAAGTTGCTCTAGTGACTGGTTAAGTCTCAAGTCACTAGGGTCAAGTGAGTCTTACATGTAAGTTGCTCAGACAGCTGTCAATCACTCTGGTCAGGTTGCTCTGGTCAAGTCTCCAGTTGCTCTGGTTAAGTCTCCAGTTGCTCTGGTCAGGTCTCAGGCTGCTCTGGTC